CAAGAGGGCTCTATTCCTGTTCATGTCCTTTGCATGTTATACTACAGCTGGTTGACATTTTTCCCGGGGGTATTACAAAGAACTTTCTTCTGCTTACCCACAAATTCTAATATTTCAGTTGACTGCACCAATACCAAAGCGTGGTACAGCTTTGTGAGAAACAGCATTAGCAAATTATATTTCTTCATCCTCTCCTTCTATACAATCTTAGAAATTTTCAGGTTTTAAATTTTTTCCACACTGCCCTACATTAATTTTTTCTTAAAAATTGCAAAAATCATACAGGTGTGTGTGTGTTGCTGGTGTTGTCAATGTAAATCCTCTAAGAAAGCTTGTTAAGTCCTATTACATAAAAACAGTAATTAATCCACTCAGTTACTCAAATTTCCTGAGGGCTCAGCCTCCAAATCACCTCCATCTCTGCCTTCCTGGAAGGTCTATCTCACTGCTAGTGGCTCCTCTGGGAAAGGATAAACACAGGCCTGGAGAGGCCAGGCAGGGATTAGGGTACTTCTCTCATCTCAGTAGAAAGGGAAAGTCAAGGTCCTCCCTCTCCACATTCCCTGCTGGGTGTGGCAAATTACTTGAACCAGTAGTTTTTTAATATGGGATTCATGGGCCTTTTACGTGTTTTGGAAGAGACGGTGTAGCCAGTTGATGTTTTAAGTACCTTTCCTGGGAGCCTCTATCCACAAATTTCTTCAAAGTCTCAAAGTACATTGAAAGGGTTAAGAGCCACTGCCTTGCCAGTGTTTGAATAAAGATGAGTCACAAATGGTGCCATTTTATCGCTCTTCGCCATTGGAGACTGCCGGTGCTTTACAGTAGCGGAATACCAGGAGGTCCATTGAGGATGATGGATGGTTTTGCAAGGCAGGTTTTATCCTCTGTCCTTCCTTGACATGGCTCGATTTCTTCTGAGATTTACAATTAATTGTTAGAATTATTGATACCCATAGAATATGAAAGAAATTTTGCTCATCAAAACAAGAGAGTGCTTTATTGGAAATGATGATATTCTGGGTTTAGTGCAGTGGTCCCAGAAGATAATGATCAGGGTTTAATTTTTTTCTTCTTAAATTTAATACAGAGCATCTATTTGATATTTATTAAACTTACTATCTTCAAATATTGCTTGACATTGTCCAAAGCAATATATATATATATATACTCAAATTTCTTGAGTGCTCAGCCTACAACATTATATATATTATAGATGGACACAATATCTTAATTTTATTGATGTATTTTTCTGTGGTGCTGAGGATGGAACCTAGTGCTGCACATGCGACAGGCAAGTGCTCTACCACTGAGCTGCAACCTCAGCCCCTTAACCAAAGCATTTTAATGACACAGTCAGAGTCTTTACAGATTGAAAAGCAATGCCCTTGTTTTTGATTATTTTTAAAATATATTCATCATTTTTTGCACATTTGGGTCGAGTCTACTTTGGGCTTTTATGAACAGTGTGTTATGAACATTGGCATACAGTTTTTGTTTTTGTTAGTGTGATATAATTGTATACAACAGGGGGTTCATTGTGGCATCTTCATATATTCACATAATGTAATTTGCTCCAGTTCATCTCTACTACTTCTCCTTTTGCTTCCCTCCTCCTCCTCCCCCTCTTTATCCTTCTACTTTTCTGATCTTCTTTCTATTTATTTACATGCATATTTTTTCATTGGTGCATTATAATTATACACTATAATTATGCGTGAAAGTGGGATTTGTTGTGGTATATTTACACATGTATAGAGCATAATTTGGTCAATTATTTCCTCTAGTTCTGCCCCTTTTCCTCCTTTCCACTCTCCCCCTTGACCCCCTTCCTCTCCTCTACTAATCTCCCTTCTATTTTCATGAGATTCTCCTTTTTTAAATGGCCACAATTTTCTCCTTAAAATAAACATGATAAACATAATACTTTAAGCTTTTTATAATCTCAACACTACAAAATATGCAAACTATATTATGCAGGTGTGGAGATGTCTGGTTGCTATACAAACAATATTTCTCACCATTAACAGTTTTATAATAAGAAATGCACATATTAGTTTACAAATATCAGTTTTGAGTCCCCAGACTACCTTTGGGATATTATTGTATTGCTACCAACAAAATTCACAGTATATAATTTTAAAAAATTGAATATCAACTGTCTAGTACTGGTTTATAATCCAAAGCATTAGAACCTATCCATGTGTCCATACAGATATAAAAAAAAAAAAAGATTGCACAAATAAATAAATGGGGGAAAGTACAAAAATTTCTCAAGTAGAATTCCAAATAATTTATAGAGATGTTCCATTTTCTATGTGGTAGATCCCAACTCCCAACTTGCCCTTCCAAAGAGTACAGTATGGAAAGGGGGAAATAAGAAAGTAACTTGGCCTGGAGACACCTGACCAACACGACTTCAGCTAGATGATCAAGGTCAACACCAACACTGATACGCTGATAGCATGAACCCTTGCTGAGATGAAATGGCACTTGGTTGTGAGATCTCCCTCCCGAAAACCTATAATTCCAGCCTAATCACAACAAAAGCTTCAGACAAACCCCACTTGAGAGTTTACAAAGTATTTAGTCAGTACTCCTCAAAACCACGAGTCTTAAAAGAAAGCCCTAAGGAAGTCCACAGCCACAAGGAGCCTGAGGAGACACAATGACTAAGTGTGATGTGGGACCCTGGATGCAACACTCAGCCCAAACTAAGGAAATCTGCATCAAGCCTAGACTTCAGTTAACAGTAGTGTAACAAGCGGGTTCACAGATAGTGACGAATCTCACACACTTATTTAAGATGCTTAAATATGTGTCCTAGGACCCAGAGACAATCACTTAAACCATCCTTCCTCAGTATGTGTCCTAGGACCCAGAGACAATCACTTTACAACTTGGAAAACATAAATTTTCCATACACATTTAGAAGCCTTTAATTGTGTGCTAAAATTGCAATTTTTCTATAAATTGAAAGTTGTTAACAAAAAATAAAGTTTTGGTTTTTTTACATTATTTACCTAAGTGCTTTTGGTCGAAGTATTGTAAAACAAGAATTTGTGAAGAGATTCCATCTGTCGTTAGCAATTCCTTTTGGCAGAATCAAGATAAGAGCTTTTAATTTGTCATCATTGTTACCTTCCCTCAGAATCTCTTCCCAAACAGCAAAAGATGACTCACTATGTAATTTTAATTTCAAATAAAAGATTTATAATACATACATGAGTACTTTCTCCTTCCAATGCATTTCTAAATTTTTTCATAACAGAGGTCTCCATAGCATTAATAACTGCTAACCTACCCCAAATTTGATTTCAGGCACTTTTGCCCACTTCCCCACCCCACTCCTTCACCTCCCAACCCCAGCAGTGCTGAAAGCTGTAAGTGACTTGTCAGGTGCACACACAGTCATGAAGCCGAGATGCTCCGGGATGTAGCAAAACCCTACAGCATTAAATATCCTGGCATTGATTCAAATGGTAATGTCTGAAATGCATTTTTTTTTCAGAAGAAAGAGAGCAGGGTTTTTTTATTATTATTATTGGTTGTTCAAAACATTACAAATCTCTTGACATATCATATTTCATGCATTTGACTCAAGTGGGTTATGAACTCCCATTTTTACCCTGTATACAGATTGCAGAGCAGGTAAAGACTTCTTATCATTAAAAGTCAGAAAGAAACCTAACGTGGAATCAGTAAAAGATCCAAACTGAATATCTTTGCTAGAATTTCCTGGTGGGAGCTTTTCTACACACATTTAGAAGCTTTTATTTGCTTGTTTTAAGAATGGCATCTTGGGGCTGGGATTGTGGCTCAGCAGTGGAGCGCTCGCCTAGCACGGGCGGGACCTGGGTTCGAGCCTCAGCACCACATAAAAATAAAAGATGTATCCACCGAAAACTAAAAATAAATATTAAGAAAACTCTCTCTCTCTCTAAAAAAAAGAATGTCATCTTATCTTTAACTGAAAAATATTAGAAAAAAAAGAAGACAATGGTGTTTTCCTTGAAAGGCAAACTCCCCGGGTGATACTTCACTACTATTTTAGAATGTTTACAGATTAACATGATTGAGTGTAAACCTAACACTAAGAGCTTCATCATCTATGTCCAAATCCCATGGAAAGGAATGATTTTCTATTTCATTCCTTTTCCTGAAGATAGAAACCACTTTTGATGACCAGTGGAGTCACTCTTTTGAGAGTTTGGTATCTACTATTAACTATTAGTAACTTACTTCCTGTCACTTGCTAGTGTGGCTCTAGGTTCCAGAGGTCTGATCCGAGCATTGTGAAGATGATAATAACTGATAATTAGCGGCAGTTATAGGAGTGACTTGTTTCCTTTACCTCTCTGTTGTTTCTACAGCCCCATCACAGCCTGTCTCAACCATTCATTCCTCAGTATGTGTCCAAGGACTCAGAGACAATCACTTACAACTTGGAAACCATAGTTTGATTTTTATTTTTTCTGTGTTAGCCATGGATATAGAGAGAAAAAAAAGAAGAGAATGAGAATCAAAGACAGGGGGAAGAGAAGTTGGGAAGGTGGGCAGGAGGATAGGAAAAGTTGTGGAAGGGAAGAGGAAGGAAGGGAGAGGAGCCAGAGGCCAGAGCAGGCAGGGGAGAGAGAAATCATTACAAAACAGGGCAAGAGGGACCTTCCTGGAAGTGATTCAAACCAAAAGTGTCCTTGCTGGTAGGAGTGGTCTACCTCAGCTTTAGGAATCAACGTGGCATTATCTACCCAGAAACTCATGGCTAAGGATGATCTTGGGAATTACTGGACATTCTAAAATTCAGATTTCATATACTCTACAAGAGTCTGATCACTTAATTAGTTTCTAGATGAATGTATATGGCCATCTTATTTATGGCTTTTTTAGGATGAAGGAAGAGGTAAAATCACTGTCTTAAAAAATTCATTTTGTAATTTAGAGAATTTGAGAGGTAATAGATGGTAGAATATCAAATAAGATTAATCAGAGATCACATGAAGTCTTTGAACTCCCTTTTATTCCAAATTTTCTACAACGAAACTTGGTCAAAAACCTGTCTTTACCAAATTTACAAATTTTATGAAGTTAAGTGTAAGAACGTGGGAGAGTTTTCAGATAACAAGTTCTAGGAATCCAAAATGCTAAGGTCTTCAGATTATTATAACCTTGTATCTCAAATTTAAATACCAAATACAATTTTAAGAGAAACATTTTTTTAACTCTTCTTGCCAAACTTCAAAGACTTAACAATAGACTACTCAGTTACTCTTAAAGGGTATTTTCACTTCATTATTCATCCAAAGAAACCCAATGCATTCATACTCCTTCACCCTTGTCTTTTGTAATTACACAATTCCATGCAATATCAGGCAGACTTTCTTATAAAACCAGCTTGTTCAGCAGAATGGCAGCATCACCATCAAAACACAAGAGATCTTGTTCCAATTTTAAAAAATCTCATGGCAAAACTTTTTCTGTGGGCCCTTGTATGATATCAAAGTCCAGTCTATACTCACCGAGAGCTTGATATTCCTGTCCTTCCAAACATATCCACCGTGACTGAACAAATGAGACACTCAATTCCATTTTAGAACAGACTGAGGAACTTGCCAGAGCAAGTCCCCATGTGTACACACAGACCCACACCCACATCAGTCACACAACTTCTAATTCTCCAGGTTCCCTGCAGGATCTTCAGACTAAGGCTGAGCTGCAGAACAGTAAGGAGAGAAGGAGCGTCAATTGATGACAGACAAGTTTAGGTTTACAGAGGTGAGGATATCAAATAAATGAAAAGCTTTCAAAATAATCATCATTTGAAGGTTTTTTAGTTTTGTTTTCTAATTGCTATGCTACATTCATATTTCCTAATTTTCTCAATTTTAATAATCTAAGAGAATTTTTGAGTCATCGACTTGTTTTGACTAATATAGTCCTGAACTTTCAGAAACACACACATATATTTAACACTTAGAGCTTTTGATGGTCTGTGTTAGTTAGCATTCTGCTGCTGTAACAAAACACCTGAGAAATCATTTTAAAGTAAGAAAGATTTATTTTAGCTCACAGTTTCAGAGCTTTCAGCCTACAGAATTGTTTGGGGGACTGTGGTGAGACAGAGTGCATGAGGGAGCAAAGATGCTCACCTCATGGCAGCCAGGAAGAAAAGAGAGATTCACTTTTATAGCAAAGTTCCTCCCCTTAAACCCATTAGGTTATGATTCCTTGCATGCATTAATCCATTCATAACTTTTAGAGCCCTAACAATCCAATCACTTCCCAAAGTCCTCACCTCTCAACACCACTGTATTAGGGACAAAGGCTTCAACCCATGAGTTTTATGGGACATTTAAGGTCCAATCCATAACAGCATGTCTCTATGATTGGCTTTTAGGAAGCTTTGTGTAAATCTCTGTGCTCATTTGCATTAGCTTTCTTTGGCTTCAAGTTCTGATTCTGTCGTTCCCTTCCCCATCCTCATTTCTATGCCTTCATTAATTTTATCTTGCTTTTTCCTCTCCTACTGTAAGTAATTTTTGCTTTAATTTAATTGTGCTTTTTATTTTAAGCCACTTCAAATCCTTTGGGACAAGACATCATATGTGCAAGTGTCTATGTGGATGAGCACACTTTTGCAAACAGGGAGAACAAAGAATATATCAAGTTTGAAATAATCCCTTATGTAAGCAAGTCTGATCTCTCCTTCTGTCATTTATTCCAGTATTTAGTAACCCTCCATGAACTGCAAACTCTTTCTTACACAGGCGTAATGTGAGAAAATAAAATTCTTAAAAATGGGATCATCATTTAAATATATTGAGGATGGACACTCTAAAGTTAAAGGAGGAGCTAGGGAACATTTAAATATTAATCACTGCTTCCTACAAAAACATCTTTATAGCTTCAAATATTTGCATAGATGGCTACATAAAGTTAACACAACTATAATGTGGCCATGCTATTCAGGGATTTTGGTTGCAAACAACATAAACTGATTCTCTCCCAACATGGCACAGAATTATAATTATCCTCCAAGATCTGCTTTCCCCTTTTCTTGCTTTAACAATACAACCTCTCCTGAATTGTACTGAAGCATAAAACATCCTCAGCTGAAGAATACTTCATACCTTCCCTTGTGGCTAGGAGTGATCAGGTAACTAAGTTCTCAAAAATTAAATGCAAGAAAAAATTACCTGCAAATTCCTTTAAAAAGAAATTGCTTACCTTCTACCACTTTCTTCCTCCTTCCACAGAATGAAATGTGGAAATGGGGCCAGTCATATAGCTTTGAATATGAAGATCAGAACTACACCCTAGAGATGGTGAACAAGGAGAGAAAAGGAATCTACTTCTGTGCCTGGGGTCCAAGACACAGTAGCCTGACAGCTCTGAATTATTTATGTATCTCAACTCTTCTACAACAGGAAAAATATGAGTTTGTGAGATTTTGCTACAGCATCTTGGTTTATATTTTATGAAAGTTACTGATTTAATCAGATAGTGGATGTATTGGAATTAGGTTGAGTAGCTTACAAAACAATCAGTAATGTTTAAATAGGCTTGGAAAATAGCCAGTGACCAAAATCCTAGCAAGGCTTTAAAATAAATCCACTGAATGCTGGTTTTTGCCACAGCCAACTTCAAATGCTCCCCAAATATCTTCAGTTTTTGAAATCATTCTTCTGTGAATCAAAGTTTAGATGCTGGACGGAAAACTGACAAATGCCCCCCACAATCTATCTTTAGCCAAGGAATTAACCTGCATGTTCTTTTCTCCATTATCACAATTTAAAAAAGGAAAATTTCCCACTAAGATTCAGAAATCACTCATACAACTAAAAATTGTACTCACCTTCCCAGGAGAGGACTGGAGAGTTTCATGAGCCCTTGTATGCACTCAGAGTCCGCATCTTCTGCTTCTGAATCAATTCCATGTTGATATCATGAACTGGGAACAAAATAGTAACATTATTCAACGTGTTCTGTATTACTAATAAGTGAGAAGGAGTAGGGACAAAAGGGAAATTAGTTAAAATGCATAAATATATAAACGGACATAGATTGAAAGGAGATATGGGTTTATGCTATGTGCTCATACCTGCAATTATCCTAAGAACAAAGTTGGATATAAAAATTTCCAGCTTCCATGATCCATCCTATGCTCCCATTGACTTGAAACAAATTTTTGCTGATCAAGATGTAATAGGATTTGGTGGTTTACATAATCTCAAGGAAAGGTAGTTATTCTTATTGCTCTCTCTCTCTCTCTCTCCCTTTCTCTCTCTCTCTCTCTCTCTCTCTCTAGGAGATCTTCTTGATATGGAAAAAAAAAAAGACTTACAAAATTAAGAGCTGTGTACCAGGTTCCCAGGGCTCTATTGATCTGCTTTAATGTGAAGACCACATAGGGAATAGCAGCTTTAATTGATGTCAGCCCCGGAGAAACTTAATATTATCCATGAGCTGGGCAAAAGGTCTCCTCCACTGGTGGATCTGGAAAGTAGAGTGATACATGGTTGTAACGACCACCCAGGCAGCTTTCAAATTGTGTGTCATGGGGTTTCTTGGCATCACTTCCTGACGCTTCTCCTATTGAAATGATTTGGCTCTCCCCCTCTATTTTTGGCACTATTTTTAAAAATTTCTAAAAAAATTTCACAACATTTTTGTAAAAATTTCTAGAATAATACAAACACTCTCTGATGCCCTTCAGCCATTTTCCTTCTTATGTCTGTCCTTATCTATTATCCATCTCCTTTCCCCCCTCATTCTTCTCCTTCTCCTTCCTCCTCCTGTCTCCTTTATTGACCATTGGAAAGCAACTTGCACACATGATATTCCTTTACTGCAAACATTGTATTGTATGTTTTCATAAAATATAGAGTTCTTTTACCTATTCATGGCAAGATTGTAAATCAGGAAATTAGGATGGATAATATATCATCTAATTCCACAGACCTCATTCAGGGGTAGTCAATTTCACAACAATGAACTTCATAACAACAAAAAGTCCAAGATAATTGACTGCATTCAGCTGTTCTGTCTCTTTAACCATATTTAATTTGGAGCATCGCATGAGTTTCTTCCTTTGTTTCTCATGATACTGATTTTGAAAGGTACACATCAGTTATTTCATAGACTATCCCTCTATGTGTTTGCTTAATGGTTCTTCATGCTTAAATTCAAGTTATGTTTTAAGGATAGAAACACAATAGAAATGAGACTAACTCCTTACTGCTGAGTATCGGGAGACACATGATGTTGATTAGACCAGCATTGGCATTGTTCATTTTGACTATTTGGTTAAGGATGGTTTCTAATATGGTAGCAGATCTGTTTTCTCCATTATTTGTTTATTTTTCTACTTAAAAAGTCAAGTGTGGTATTCATAAAGCTTGGGACCTTTGTCTGTTGTGAGATGAGGTCTTGCTGGGACCACATAGCTTTGTCACCATGACTGGTTAGGAAGCTTGTTTTTTGTGCAAATGTAACTTTTGTACTTATTCCTTTTACAACCCTCAATCTGTCCCCTTTTTAAACCTTCGTTATCTTTTTTTTTTTTCTCCTTTTGGGTGGTTCCTATAACTTACTACCTATAAAACAATCAATGACTTAAAATTTTCCTTTTCCCTGAGCTCTTTGCTCCCAATTTTTAGTGGTCCTAATTCTATTTTGTCAGATCATGCTTGAAGAACACAGCACATATCATACAACACCACATTATTCTCCCCTCACCCTCCTCTATCTTCATCTCATCTCAACAATTCTTTGCTCATGATCTACCATTTTGCTGAAGTTTTAGAAGCCAACTCCTACCTAATTGAAGTTCATCAGACAGTAGATTCTTACTGATGAGATTATGCATGTAAAATCCCTTGATTTCTTGAATGTTTAGAATTGGTTTTCTACCTGTCCAATACTTGAAGTGTGGATTTACTGAATACACAACTCCCGATTCACTTCTTCACACCTGAGATTCTAGAGGATGCGTCTCCATTGCTGCATTACTTTTTGTGTTGTTTCTGAGACAGCTGATACTAATATAATTTATTTTATATTTTCCCTAAAGGCCCTCAGGTGTTTTCTTTGTCTTTCATCTTTCATCATTCTTCTGAGACATGGCTGAGAGCTGATCCTTTTTTTTCATTTTCTTGGTAATAAGCAGACTCTTTTGAAATGTGCATAGAGATCTGATTCCAGAAAGTATTATTAGAGTTTCCTTTCAGCACAAAAAAAGATGTTGTTCATCTCTAATTCAAGCTCCATAATTTCTGATGAGAAGTCGCCTCTTATTCAAATTACCATTCACCTTGATAAGATTTGTCTTGCTGCTTCCGCGATTGTTTCCCTATATTAGTTTTAGGCCATCTGACTATAATGTGCCTAAGCATTACAACTTTTTTTCGTTTGTTTGTTTATCTTGTTTTTTTTGTCTTTTTCCTGCTTGGCATTTGGCAAGTATCTCAAATCTTTACATATACATCCATCATAATTCAGAAAATGTTAGCCACTAATATCTTCACACACTTTTTTTCTGCCCGGTACTTTCTCCAAGTATCAAGGCACTCTGGTTGCATGTATGTTTTACTTTGGGATATTACCTGAAAAGTTCATCATGTTCTGCTTATTTTTTTTTTCATATTGCTTTTCCTCATTGTTTTCAAGTTGGGTGGTTTCTGCTGATTTTTCTTAAAGTTTACAGAGTCTCTCCTTTCTCTTCTCCATTCAGCTATCTGGAGAATTTTTATTCCAGTTCTCAAATTTGGATTAAGTTGCTTTTATCCATTTCTCTGCTAAGACTTCATATCTTTTAACATATTGAAGGTATAGGTTCATTAATATCATAAAAGATATTTATATTGGATTCTTTAAAATTCTCATAAGCTAATTCTAAAATCTGGGTTATCTTCCATTTGGTCCCCATTGGTTCTTTTCATTGATGGGTTGCATTCTCCTGCTTCTTCACATGTCAGGTAATTATGAATCATATCCTGAACATTTTGATGTTAATTTGTAGAGATTCTGGATCCAGTTATTTTTATATGATGATGTTTGGTTTTTAGGGTTGGTGGTGCTTTGTTGTTACTGTTGTTTGTTTTACCAGGTGCTTAACTTGGTTGAAACTGCAAATATATTCCCAGGAATTAGATGAAATTTCAAACATGAATTTTGTTTTTGAGCTCAGCTCTTTTGAATGGGCTCTAAACATTCGTGGTTAATAAGTACTTCAGAAATATGAACAGATATAAATCAAATAGCCCCTCTCTGGTTGTTTCTCATCTGAGCAAATCTTTCCCTTCCCAGGGGAACTAGTTGTAACAATATAAATCCTTCAGCTATTCCAATCCTTCAGAAAGACTGTGGTTCTCCCAACAACATCCCCAACAACTGCACCTTCCTCAGGTCAAAAGAACAAAAGCAAGCACTTCATACCATGCAACTCTTGCTTCCAAGCATGGACTCCGCTGTACTCTGACTCCCTCTGTTCTCCTTTTGTTCTCTTATACCTGTTGTCTTTTGTATTTTTTCAGAATTTATCCTTGTCATCCCACATGGGTGATGCCATTCTAAGCCATTACTGGAGGTAGAAGTAATGGATTATGCTTTCAAATATTGTTTCTGTCCCATTTTTTAAAAATTAATATATTGCAAGACTCCGATTACATGTACGTTGTTTTCTCTTTGATTATCTTTTATTTAAACCACTTTATTCCTGACCCTTTTATTGTTTTTTTTTAAATATGATTTACACTGTCTTCTGTCTTCATTTCTGGTTTTCTGCAGTGCCTTGTGTATAGTTTCCAGTTGTATTTATTCTGCTTAGTCAACCTGTAATTTAATCTTTATTTCTGATACTATTTTATTAAATTTTTCTTTGGAATGCAGTCAACTCTTGCTTTATTGCAAGTATTTTCCTTAGTTGAATTGTTTGGATTTTAATTCTCAAGATAGTTTTAAGGTAAGTATAGATAACTAAGGAGGGGGTGGGAAAGCAGGGGAGACTGCTTTGTCCACCACCTCCTTCTGTAACTTTCACCTGGTCATTCAGGGTGGTTTGTGAGATTACAGGTTTGAGATAACAGTCAGGGAAGGATTGGTTTCTTTACTCATTTGGGAGTATGGAGTAATAGGTGAAAGGAGAGTCAGGGGAAGGAGGTTAAGTCCCACTGTGTTTTTATCTTTAATCTTATAGAAGTCATAATTTTTTCCTCTTGCTCATTTTCCCCTTTTCCACTCAGTCTCCAAAAGGCAGCTCTTCATTCCTTCTCTCACTTTCCCTGAAACGTTTCCTTCCCAAGACTCAAGTCTGAGGTCCCGAATGCATTTCGCCTGTTTTCCCTGAGCTGTATCGGGATTTTCCATGTGCACACTGGCTCTCTCTCGTTATTGGGTTTTGATCAGTTTAAGCTTGCCATAAACCATACTTTCACTTTCGTGTAATGTTTTTCCAGAGCTTTCCTAATATTACCCAAATGCTTGTGTCAAGAATGTTGGGAGGTAATTTGTCAGAATTCGTTGTTTCTCTACTTACTGGTGGAACTTGAGGTGTGGATGCTCTCTGTTTTCTAGCGGTGCGTTTTAGGTAAGAGTTTTATCTAGTTTTGTGTTTGCTTGTTTGTTTGAGAAGTTAAGAGAGGTGACTCCACATGTCTTCCACTGCTTCCATTACTCAGAGCTGTGTATTTATTCTATTCACAAGGAAGGAGAGCCTTAATTATAGCACTTAAATATACTACTTACTCTGCGAGTGAACAAAGGAGTAGCAGAATTCTCTCATTTTTGCCGAAGATTTGTCTAACCCCATTCAGCAATAACTAGGACGAGATCAGAGTGGATCTACTGTGAGGCAGACTCAGGTCATGTTTATCACTTGACCATTGAAGCTCCCAATCTGGAGTTTTCTTTCTGGATCTTTTTGAGACTATGTTAAATAACCCTGAAACCTCTAA